GGTCCCTTCCCCCCTCCCTGCCCATGATCAAGTGTGTCCATTTTTTTGGGGGCATCTACCTGGTAACCCTAGGTGTGGGGACTGTACTTCATCACCAGTTCTATAGCCACTGTAAGCCCACCATGCTTCATTCGCTCCATGCACCCGTCCTCTTTTCTTAAAACTGGATTCAGTGAGTCCGACAACTGAGGTCCGCTCTTGGGAAGACAAAACCCCCTAGCTAGATGCAGTGGCCACATCCAGAGGCAAGTGCAGGCTTTCTTTCTTCCCCGAAGAAGTCACTGCTCTTCCCCCCTTCCTCTTAGATGCTGTCGTCCCTTCTACAATCGGGTCCGGGCATGACATCGAGAGGCTGCAAGCTCAGCCATCCTGGGTGCTCTTTCTATTAGTCATTTGCCGAGTCCAGCTCTGGAGCAAGGGGCAGCTCCTAAGCTCTGTCCCAACAGAAATGGCATTTTGCAGGAACTCCAGTCAGATGCCTGAGCATTGCGCATGGAGCCCGTTGTGGTCATAGGTTACATTAATGCTGCTTGAGACAGTGCCGAGACCAGCTTTTAGGCTGCTGATGTATTGATATGAACCTTACAAGGCTCCGAATTGGGTTTCGTCCCATTTGGCAAAGACAGGCTGGTATGTTTTAGGGATGTAATAGTGTAATTGATTAACCAGTTCACCGATAAGCAAAAGCTTATCGTTAACGCTATATATAGACTATACACGCTCCCCCCCTTGCCAGTACATTTTTTAGCAGTCTGGACAGCAGCCTGGCTTAGTCCCGGCTTGTGCCGGGTCTGGGACCTACCCCTGCTGCGGCTCTGCATTTAAAGTGTATTAGGAGCCAGGCAGGCAGCCTGCCTGTCTCAGGTCCAGGAGCTCAGACCCACCCCCTGGACAAGGGCTGTTGCAACCTCACACTGATACCTCTGTATCAGTGTGGGGTGACAAGCAGCCGGTCTGCAAGGGGAGCTGGTTTTTAAACTGGCTTCCTTTGCAGACCAGTTCTCACCTGGCACCCTGCACTGGTGCCTCTGATGCAGAAGCAGCAGTGCAGAGTGGTAGGGAGCACCTCAGGAGTGGGGTGCTACTAGCTCCGCCCCCAGAGACTATAGAATCGTTGAGTAACCGATAAGAATTCATGAGGTTAATTGACTATTCAATTAACCAGTATTTAATATTCCTAATATGTTCCCCTGGGAGCATGCTCCCTTGTCCTGTGACCAGTTTGTAGGAGCCCTTCCTGCGCTGGGCTTTTAGCAGGTTTTGTGTCACTAATTTACATCCCACATAGGCTAATGGGTTATTTTGTGTGCTTCTGATGTGCAGTCTCAGAAATGTTAATTAATGTCTGGACCAACACCTGGGAAAGAGAAGGGCATCAGCCAACTATATAAAAAGAACATACAGTATTTCATACAAATAGGCTTTGGGACCATAGCTGCTCTCCCATCAGTTGGCTGCTGCCCCGAGTGCATTCCTGGATTGTGTCTGTTTCTCACATTGGGGGCTAGTTCCCTAGACACGTAAGTGGCAAGGGCAGGTGGAGTGGTATATGGGAGAGACTGGGGTGGGGCAACATTGTTTAGTCTTGTCCCAGTGCAGCTGGAAGGATAAAACCATCCCGGAAACGCTTTCAAATCTCCGAGGCTGTGTCTACACTGGCGCGATCTCGCGCAAAAGCAGCTGCTCTTGCGCAAAAACTTGCTGCCTGTCTACACTGGCCGTGTGTTTTTGCGCAAGTAAACTGACGTTCTAATGTATAAGATCAGGGCTTCTTGCGCGAGAACTCTGCCGCTGCCGCTCAGGAAGAAGCCCTTTTGTGCAAGAGCTCTTCCAGAAGAGGCCAGTGTAGACGGGCAACATGAATTTCTTGCGCAAGAAAGCCCTATGGTTAAAATGGCCATCAGAGCTTTCTTGCACAAGAGAGAGTCTACACTGGCATGGATGCTCTTGCACAAAAGCACATCTCTTGTGCAAAAGCACAGCTCTTGTGCAAAAGCACATGCCAGTGTAGACACTCTCTTGTGGAAGAGTTTTTGCACAAGAAATCTTCCGCAAAAGAGTTCTTGCGCAAGAAGCTGCCAGTGTAGACGTAGCCAAAGCGTTTCCCCTGCATGTTAGCTGGAACATCTCTGAGATCATGACATTTTGGAGAGGCAGAAAGCTTTTGAAAGTCAAGCCCATGCTTTGGCTTGAGGTTTTTACAAAGTTGGCTATAGAGCATTTTGTGACCAGGAAGGATTTCTATGAGCTGGAGAGGGGGAGCTTTTCAGTTCCTCTCGCAATTTTAGCAAAGTCATCTGCATTATCTGGGATCACTTGCTCCCCCGGGCTCACTGTGCCCCAAAGCCCACATATTACAGTTTAGCTTACAGGGTGTCATGTGGTTGCATAGAAAGTAGGGATGTAAAATCCCGCTTCATTGGTTAACTGGTTAAATAGGGAAGAGCGAGGGTAGGAGGACCAATGCAGCCCGAATGGACACTGTGTTGCAGATGGGCTCTGTGGGGGTGGAGCAGCACCCTTCTTGTGATGGGCAGATGGCTGCTTCAGGCCCCCACTGGTTAACTGTTACCTGGTAAAACTAATTAACATCCCTAATTAGAAAGCTGTCAACAGGGACAGTTTGAGATAAATGAACAAATAGGTTATTTTAATGATCTCATTGAAACACAGTCTCCATCACAAGAGGGAGATACCTCCAACGCTCCCTTAACACTCACCCCAAAATGAAGGCATCTCCATGAGACGGGGTGCGACTTTGCAGCCCTTCCACAGGCTAAAACAATCCTGGTTGCTGTGGAACGCTCTCTGCGTTCCCTTGGGACAGACGTGGCTTGGAACCCTCTGGTGAGATGTTTCCTCCTGTGTTTAATGTTTAGTCACCCAAATGAAAAATGTTACATGATGGTCCTCATGGGGCGGTTCCTTTGCAATGAAAGGGAATTGCCTTCAGGGTGGGGCCTTTAAGCAATATGTAGCACAGGGGCCTAGATACTGAGTGGGGGCTTTGGAGGGTTACTACAATACTCACGGGCTACGTCTAGACTGGCATGATTTTCCGGAAATGCTTTTAATGGAAAAGTTTTCCGTTAAAAGCATTTTCGGAACAGAGCGTCTAGATTGGCACGGACGCTTTTCCGTAAAAGCACTTTTTGCGGAAAAACGTCCGTGCCAATCTAGACGCGCTTTTCCACAAAAAAGCCCCGATCGCCATTTTCGCAATTGGGGCTTTTTTGCGGAAAACAAATCTGAGCTGTCTACGCTGGCCCTCTTGCGCAAAAGATTTGCGCAAAAGGGACTTTTGCCTGAACGGGAGCAGCATAGTATTTCCGCAAGAAGCACTGATTTCTTACAGCAGGAAGTCAGTGCTTTTGCGGAATTTCAAGGGGCCAGTGTAAACAACTGGCAAGTTTTTCCAGAAAAGCGGCTGTTTTTCCAGAAAAACTGGCCAGTCTAGACACAGCCACGGTGGTTATACAGTGTCAGGACTGCGCCTCAGCGCTCCCCCTCTAAAAGGAGCTTCCCTTTTGTTTTTTCACTTCAGAAAATGAGCCACCCTCCTCTTTGGTCTCTGGAATCATTGACTACAACATGCCTCTCACCTCCACCTATCTGAAGCAAATGAAGCTGCGGGTGATGAATTCCCAGGAGCAGGTGAGTGTCTTTCTTCCCGGATGGGAGTCTGTCTGGGCAGCACCGGGTGCAGAGCAGATTTCTGAGTAGGCTGAATGGCTGACACGTGGCACCGCAGAACAGCAAAGGCCAGATTTTCGCAGGGACAGTTTTGCATGTGTCCAGCTTACATGCATGTGCAGGTTGGGAATTGCACAAGTGCAGCGAGTGTTGTGCTGTGTAGGTTGTGTCCACACAGCATTTTGCTAAAAAATCCATGCAAGACTTTTGCAGAAAGGGCAGGGGAGAGGAAGAGAAATGCATTCAGGGCAGTTTTTGTTCATTACAGTTCACATGTTCTTTGGTCATAGGGTGGTTTTGAGTGAAATTAGCGTACAGGTATCCATGATGACGAGGAATGTATTTCTCTGCCACCTTCCAAACTGCTTAAGGACTTTAGCGGATCGGGGCTGATCCCCAGGCATTGCTTCTGTTGCTCGGATGTTTGCTTTTCGGGAGTTCTTCAGCCTCTTGCTGGAGGGTCAGCTCCAGTCACTTCCTTCCTGTCTCCAGCTGGGAAGAGGCTCAGCTGCTTGGTGACAATATTGTGCCTCTGGATTTTGATTTGGGAATGGAGGGGTAGACTGCCACATGATTATTCTCAGGCCATGGAATTTTCCAATGTTCTGCAGCTGCAGAATTTGCCAAGGGATCCTCAAGGCACCATGGAAACAGACTATAAAAAGAATACACTTTACTGACTCCCTACAAAGTTGCACTGCTGGCATTTCAGAAACCAAGTGTCAGATTTTCTTCCTAGCAGATACTGAGGTTGCTCCTCTCCCTACCTTGTGTGTGTGTGTTGCTCCTCTCCCTACCTTTTGTGTGTGTGTGTGTGTGTGTGTGTGTGTGTTTGTGTGTACCCGAATGGAGACGTTGAAGTACATGGATGGTTGTTATTTGATGGCAGCCTAAAGGACGTACTCAGTGCCGGGTGTAAAATGTCAAATTGTGATTATTTGTAGGGACTGAGGAGATAGATAATAAATCTTTTCATCGATTCAGTGGAAAAAACACCTTACCCTGGGGATAAATTACATGTTGGAGGGTGCAGTTTGGCATGGCTTTTCCTTACATATGCTGGACACTCAAGTTTAACAACCATCCAGCATAGGGATGTAAAATTCCATTTAATCTGTTAACCCGTTAAATGTTGCGTCTAACCAGTTAACTGCTTAAACAGGATCCCATGGGTGGGGGCCAATCCAATTTGGCTGGGCTTGCCACTCCGTGGGCTGCTCGAGCCAGGCTCAGCCTGCTACACCACGCCACGGGTTGGGGACTGCTTTGGCCGGGCCTATCGTACTGCTCCAGGGCGCCGGTTAACTGCTGATGGGTAAGCATCACGGTTAACCAGTGACATCCCTAGTCCAGTGGGCAGTATTAGGGTTTTAGAATTGTGAAAAGCTGGGGATCTAATGGTTTTGCAATCTGTTATGGAGTCTGATGCTGTAGAATTATGGACAGCTCTATGAGTTCACCAGTCTGGAATCTCTTTTCCTCAGAAACGGGCTCTGAACATCACGAGAAAATTGGATTCTAAAAGGGATCCATTCAAGAGCCTGGATAGTTCGGGGGATCAATAGCAAAACACAGAATCCGATTCCTGGTTCTATATCGATCCGCGGACAAGGGTGCCCAAAAGTTAACACTGGCTGACCATGCAGTGGCTCATATGAAATGAGTTTGGTGGGTCTCAGTCCACAAATTTCTCACCGCAATTGGCATTTTCTATTGCAAGGCTACAGAGCCAGTGGGTCATGGAGACTGAACACCAGCCTCAATGCAGGAAAGTGATCCTTTCTTGTCAGGGCTGAGGCATATTAGCAGGGTTGTGTTTGCCTAATTAGTGTGTGTGTGCTTTACCTGCTCTGTGAAAGAGAGGCCTTCAGTCTCCTGATCTGTAAAATGCATTTGATTAAAAATATGTGATGAATCTTAACCAAAAACATGAATCCAAGTCATAGAATCCTAGGGCTGGAAGAGACCTCAGGAGGTCATCAAGTCCAGCCCCCTGTCCAAAGCAGGACCAACCCCGACTCAATCATCCCAGCCAGGGCTTTGTCAAGCCGAGACTTAAAATCCTCTAGGGATGGAGATTCCACCCCCTCCCTAGGGAACCCATCCCAGTGCAGATGGATCTGAACTTCTAGATTGAATGTACAGCTAAAATGAGCCAAACTCTGGAAATCAGTAGAATTTGGTGTAGAACCAGAGTTTTGAACTCTGGGGTTCAGGAATCTCTGTATCTGGATTTTTCTCTCAGTACACGTTAGCCATAGGAAGTGTGTTTTTGTAGTTCTGTTTTTGGACCTACCACTAAAAAAATGTACAGGAAATGTACCACCGCCCAGAAATGCTTTTGCATCTGGCTAATGGATCCCAGAACTCAGTCAATGTGGGGAGTAAAAAGCTGCAAACAAGATGGCTGTTGCTGGGGCAAATGGATTCTCTGCGCTATTTGATTGGACCAACTGAATGTATTTTCCTTTCTGAAGCTAGCCCTCTCCCTGGCTTGCTAGCTTAGGAGTAGAAGAAAAATGCCAAAGAACAGAAAAAAACCTAAAAAGCTGATATCAGAAAGTTCTCAGATGCTGTATTCCAGTACCCTGGCCCTGAGCATGGACTTGAAAACAGAGGTACCTTGAAACCACAGCACCATAAGCAAGCGTGTAGAATACTTATGTTCATAGACATAAAGAGCAAATACATCAGAGACTGCTCTGGAGAGGAGACAAGGAGTTATCACCATGAGGACACAGGCAGGTGGAGAGGAACCTGATAAGCACTAGCTCATGAGAGAACAGAGGCAGCTTTCTCTCTGCACTGCCCAGGAAACAGGCATAACAAGAACACTGTAATGTATGCTGTGCACTTTGGAAGCAGTTGTTGTCAGAGGATCTACGAGCACTATACAAAGATTACATTAATTCATCTTTACACCACCTCTGTAACACGGGTAAGCATTGTTATCTCTATTTTACAGGTGGGCAAAATGATGCCTAGAGAAGTGCAGGGTCTGAATTTCAGAATTACTGAGTGTCTCCAGGTGAAGGTCACCAGGGAGTTTGCATTTGCCAATTTAATCTTGTGTGGAAGACACTCCAGTAGTGCCTTGGTGGGCAGCCATATGAACTCCTGAGACAAACAGTTGATAGTTGATGTCAGTAGAAGCTGGAGAACATAAGAACAGCCAGGCTGGGTCAGACCAAAGGTCCATCTAGCCCAGTATCCTGTCTGCCGACAGTGGCCAATGGCAGATGCCTCCGAGGGAGGGAACACAACAGGCAATCATCCCGTGATCCCACCCATCATCCATTTCTAGACTCAGCACCTCTGAAAACGGCCCTAAATGATTCGCCCATGGACACCCATCAAGTCAGTGACAGAGCTGGGAATAGATTCCAGGAATCCTGACTCTCCATCGTTGCTAAACCCAGTTCCTGAAATTCCTTTGTAAGGAGAAAGATAGGTGCGAATGATTATCCGGAGTATCTGTCAGGAAAGAGTCTGCAGGCCGTTTCCAAGCATGGCTAATGTACTAGGTGGAAACAGTAAGCCACGTTCCCTCAGCAAGCCCTCTGGAGTCAGGCCAGGCAATGGCCTACTGTCAATGGGATCTACAGTGCTGGGACATACGGCCTACGCCTCTGAAAGCTTGAGGAGATTGTGACTGTAGCTGCATGGGAGGTGTGGGGCAGAGGGGAGCCTGCTGCAGCTGGTGGTGGGCATAGAGGAGGTGTGGGGCAGAGAGGAGCATGTGGAGGCAGGGCCTGGGAAAAGTGGGGTTGCTAGGAAGGAGATCTCCATGGGGTAGGGAGGGTGGGGCTTGAACTTGAGTTGTGATGCATCTGGACAGGATGGATCAAGAGCACGTAGCGTAGGTGCCAAATCCATGGGTGCTCTGGGGCTGGAGCCCTCTCGGAAAATGGGGGTGTGTGGCACCTCAGCGCCTCTCCCCTCAGCGCCTCCCGCCGGCAACCCCCAGCTCCTCCCTCTGCCCCCCTCCCCTTAGCGCCTCCCGCCGGCAACCCCCAGCTCCTCCCTCTGCCCCCCTCCCTTTGTCTGGAAGCTGCTTCTTCAACCGCCAGAGTTTTCAATCAGTCTGTTCACAAAGACGTTCGTTAATTTCCCCCTTTTGTGTTTCATCGGCAACGTCGACAGCCGAGCAATTAAATACAAATGACTTTCAAAAAGGGAAAGATGGAGAGAAACGTTTCCCAGGACATAAAAGGTGATTTCAGGCACCCAAATTTATGCTGCTCGACGAGCGATTTGATTCCAAGTGTAATGAGCGAACAAAATCATTAATTCCTCTCTCGGAGACAAAAGGGGAAAGGTTGTCTTCCAGGGTCTTAATTCAAACCCATCATCCCTCTGCGCCCCGAGGGACAGGCATGGCCCACAGCCAGACATGTGCCAGGCAGTGATGTCGAGTGGAAGGAGCATTGGATTTGTCTTTAGAAAAGTCGGCGCCTGGAATTAGGGCTAATAATGGCCCTGTATAGTGCAGCTGAGATCGATCAACCCTTGGCAGGCTTCCATGGGTAGCTCTTCCCCTGGCTTTGGTCCTAAGTTGCCCATCACCCCTTGCTCCTAGCATGAAGCATCCCCTCATAGACCCGTTCCTGGACATACATGGCGCTGCAGATGCCTTCCCAGTCCTGGGATCCCCGCCCCTGGGTCTGGTCCTTGGCTTTGCTGATGCAGTCAGTTTCTGGGGTGAACAGTGGCCAGACACTCGTTAGCAAAGTCCCCAAGCTATTGAAAAGCAAGAAACCAAGCACCCGGTTAGGAGCATATTTACAAAGGAACAGGTCACGGGTGGGGAACCTACAGCCCAGGGGCTGGGTCCAGCCCCCGGCTTGCCTGGATCCAGCCCCATGGCTCCCCCCCCCGCATTGGGGAGCTC